AAAAGGATTTTTTTTTTTTTTAAGTAAAAACATTCAAGGATAATCCCAAACCAAGAACATGAGAACAACATTGCTGATAAAAAAAAAAAAAAAAACATGCTTTTATGTGAAGTACATTGATATTTTGAGGTAGAAAATAGTGAACTCATTTTGAACAACATTATTTGGGTCAATGTAGGGCAAAAAAAGGAAAAAATGATTTGGATCAGTAATTATATTTTTAAATTTGTGTAACTTCACATTTTAAGTGGTGATGTACTAGTCAAGAGTCTTTATTTTCTAACCATATATTAATCGGAACTTGTTTAAGGAAATTCATTCATGAGGCTAAAGAAGTGGAGACGGTAAAATTGATACGCGAAAAGCAAAGATAAGTATGCTGTAAAATCTTAATTACAATAAATAAATCTAAAAACCTAACCATGTTGCAATAAAAATGAAGAAAAAGGAAAAGAAGAAAAGATATTGACCTTGCTGCTAAAGAGGCATTGGAATTCCTCTTTGTCATGCTCTTCAGAGGATGTAGAAGCAACAAATGTGAACATCTTTGGGCAGTCTTTTACGATAAAGTCATTTAATCCTGGAAGCTCAAGACTATGCCTTCCCAAATAGAAACTTGTCAAATCTGAACAAGACTCTAGATTGATCAACCAAAGATGTGGGAATTCCATTTTATTTTCTGCTCCCTCTCCCATTATCACTTGTTCCATTTTCCCATAGTTTTTTTTACTATTAACAGCAAGAGTTGCACGAGGCACATGACCATGGAATGGGCTAGCTAGGAGGTACCTGAACTTGCGACAATTACAAATTTCCGGTAGTTGAAGTTGTCTGAAATCTAGGAGTTCTTGAGGACTTTTGATATGCCATATTTCGATAAACTTAGGAAAGTTTCATAGTGTCAAAAGTTGTAACCCAACAAATCCAACCTACGCAAGTGCAAAACAAGGCTAGTTATATATAACACAATCCAAAAATAAATCAAACAAATTTTTATAAAAAGAATGAGTGACTTCAAATATTTAGAAAAACATTTCATACCTCTTCCATGTACATTCTTTGTATGATGGTATTAAGGTTAGCTTCCCAATGCCACTTGTCCTCTCCTTTAATTAATACTCTCTGTAGCAATGGTGTATTTAGGTCTCCCTCACTGAAGAATTTCAACTTGGGGCACTGATTTACAATTACCTCTTCTAAACATGGGAATTTGAAGGTGAAGTTTTCTTAACAAAAGCTTTCTAGTCTTGGCAAGTGTTGAAGTCTCAAAAATTTTAATTTAGTAAAAGTGATCGTGATCAAACCTTGTGCTCCATTTCCTTCATTTCCAACTATTTCAGTCAACCTGTGGCACCCTGATACAATCATTCTTTTTAGTTGTACCAGACTTTGCGCTGTTGAGATAGAAACCAAATTTATCATCCCTTTGCAACTTGATACACTCAAAGTGGTGAGATTCTGGAAATTTGAAATTGAAGTTGATAGTATAATCAAATTATCACATCTGAATATCGCAAGAGTTTCAAGATTTTGAAGAACACTTGATGAGTTATGACTCCATATATGCCTGAAATATGGAAGACGCTCCAAATTTAATGTTTTAATTCTTGGGAGCATCCCAATCTCTACATGTTTCTCTTGCTCTTCAACTTCTCCTTTTGAAGGGAACAACTCCTTAAAATTACAATATCTCACAACAAGATTTTCTAGATGGCAGAACCTTTTTGGGAATCCAATGGGTAAAACATCTAATTCATCATCAAGATAGTCCTGAATTTGAAGAACTTTGATTTTGAAAAGGTTGTCTTGTTTAGACTTATGTTCACATATCATTGCAATGTCTTGTCTTGCTAATGATAGTTTCTCCAATTGAGGGATGATCTGGAAAGCAATAAAATTCAATAAAATAAGATCTTATGATTTTATATATAAAAAAGGAAAAAAAAATTATCATAAATATTGTATATTTTTTCACATGAAACCAAACACACTCTTATTACTAATTGAATTGAAAAATGATGTATAGTGTATTTTTGGGTGGAATGCATGCAATGCCCTGCCTTTAATTGAGCAATTCATAAGTTTCTATTCTGAATTGTCAAAACTTACTTGCATAAAATAGAATTTCGGGTTTACATGTCAATTTTCAAAAATTTTTACAATGGAATACAACTATCAAGTCTATTTGTGGAGGCAATGACATATGGCAAACATCCAAACATTTTACATTTGCACAACATTTAGCACTTGTATTTGCATAATTCCTAAACTAGAAACTAAGAGAAAGAGGCTTCTGGCTGTTTGTTTTGGAGACTTTGTGTTTGATATCTATTTTGTCAGACCATGATTATCATAGTTTCTACTACGTTGCTTTATGCTATGGTTTGAGTCTATGGAGGTTTTGAAACCTATGCTAACTACTAGTTAATTGTTTGGGCTCTAAATTGAGCAACTTTGATTGATTCGACTTCTACATGGTAGGGAAGCTATGGTTGGCCCTAATTAATGTGGAGTGCATCACAAATTGTTAATTGGACTCCAAAGAGTCTGTGATTGTTTGGTTCTCTAGATTTTTTGGTAATCTAATTTTATTTGTTATGTTTGAAGTTAATGATTTAGTATTGAATTTATGAAGAACTTATCTAAGAGATTTGATCTATATGGTTAAGCTATGCCTGCAACCTTCGTGTTCTATCTTATTTGGATTTTGGTTATGAGTTTTAACATGGATTATTTGATTATTCTTGT